AAAGCTCTGTGCTATTTGTATGTATTTCCTCATTCAGTTCTTATAACCACCATAAGAAGTATCAGTTATAGAAATGGATCTAAGGTACAAAGAAATTAAGAAATATTTTCAACATCATGAAGTTACATAGCTTATAAGTGGCAAATCTGAAACTTGCACCCAGCCTTGTCTGACCTCAAAGCTCATGGTAAGTAAACATAGCCCGGGCGGTGCATCAAGGAGCCTGGTGGTACTGTGGGTTAGGCATTGGGCTGCTAATCACAAGGTTCATGGTTTAAAGCCACCAGCACTTTCACCGGGGAAAGATGAGACAGTCTGCTCCATAAGGTCAATATAAATCAGAATTGGCTTGAGGGCAGTGGGTTTGGTTTCTGGTGCCATATTGACTAAAGTGCTTGGCTGCTAACTGAAAGGTCAGTGGTTTGAAACATATGTGCCAGTCACATATGTTGAAATTCCAAAATGAGATTGTCAAACCAAACTTCCCACCCTGATGAAGCATTTTAAAGATTTTCAATTGTACATGGAACTGTCCATTAGAATGAGAGCATGTCTTATTCTTTTCATTCCTGTACCATTTTGCCAAGCTAGAATCTTATCTTAAAAAGAAGGAACTTACTATTCTCTTCTCAGTTTAGGTGTGATCCCTCTGTTATAATCTCAGTTCCTTCTCTAACTAAAGTCAAATTCATTTGCCTATGCCATTGGAGAGTAAGTCATAGCTTCTTAGCTGCTATTAATGTGGGACGTAATAAAGATTCTTTATAGTTTTTAGTTTTTCAGGCATTTCATCTTTGTTCTTTCATTTTACTTAAAAATGTGCAGATAAATTGGCCAGAAATTATGTTGTTGTTGTTGTTGTTATGTGCCATGAAGTCGGTTCCGACTCATAGCGACCCTGTACAGGGTTTCCAAGGCTGTAAATCTTTATGGGAGCAGAAAGCCTCATCTTTCTCCCTCGGAACAGCTGGTATTTTCGAACTGCTGACCTTGCAGTTCACAGACAAATTCATAACCACTACGCTATATTAGGTCCCAATTTTACAGATGAAGAAATTTGAGACTCGAGTGGTATCATTCATTTGCCAGAATTTGCACAGATAATTAATAGCACAACTATTGCAGGAGTCCAGGCTTCTGGTTTAAAAATTATTCATTCCTTAATTTATTTAATTCATATATGTTGGGTCTATTCTATGTGTAAGCTGCTACCCTAGCAACTGGAGCTACTGCAGTGAACAAAACAAGCCACAGCCCTTCCCTCTTGGACTTTAACATGTCTTGAGAAGACATGCAGTAAATAAGCAAATAAAAAATTAACTTTTAAATGCTAAGAAGGAAGAGTGCAGTGTTATTAAAGATGATAATACTGTTATCTGTATGGAATTAGAGGGTCACAGAAGTTTTCACTAAAAAAAAAAAAAGAGAGAGAGAGAGATTCTAGCTGAAACCTGAAAGTGAAGAGGAATAAAACAATAGAAGAAAAGAGTAAAGAGCACCCAAGGTGAGGAAATTGAGAGTCACGTCCTGGAGGGCACTGATCCGGGGTCCCACAATGAGTTAATGTACTGGCACGACTAGAAACCAGCAAACTGGACACTAAGGCAGCACTATTTCCTTGATACCAGACCTCAGAAAGCCGCTGATCTTGTCTGCACAGCTCATCCAACTGATATGCTAGAATAGTCAGCAGACCTCCCTCCCAGGTGGCAGTCACTAGAGCCTTTGCCTGCCTCTACAGTGCTCTTTTGGTGAATTAGAAAAATACACACTCTTCTGAGCAGATTATTGTTACTGGGTGTCATCCAGTCGGTACCAACTCATAGGGACCTTATGCACAGCAGAACGAAACACTGCCCGATCCTGGTTCAACCTCACAACTGTTGCCATGCGTGAGTCCCTTGATGCTGTCACTTGACCAATCCATCTCTGACCCACCACCTTACCAAACATGATATCCTTCTCCAGTGGCTGGTCCCACCTGACAATATGTCCAAAGTATGAGAAACAAAGTTTGGCCATCTTGGCCTCCAAGGAGCACTCTGATTGCACTGCTTCCAAAACAGATCTATTGGTTCTTTTGGCAGCCCATGGCACTTTCAGTATTCTCCTCTAACACCATAACTCAAAAGCATCAATTCTTCTATGGTATTCCTTATTCACTGTCCAGCTTTCGCATCCATATGAGGTTACTGAAAACATCATGGCTTGGGTCAGGTGCACCTTAGTCCTCAAGCTGACATCTTTGCTCTTTAACACTTTAAAAAGGTCTTGTGCCGCACATTTGCCTAATGCAATATGTCATTTGATTTCTTTACTGCTGCTTCCATGAGTGTTGATAGTTGATCCAAGAAGAATGAGGTACTTGACAACTTTAATATTTTCTCCATTGATAAGAATGTTGTTTATTGGTCCAGTGGTGAGAATTTTTGTTTTCTTTACATTGAGATGTAATCCATAGGTCCTGTGAATTCAAAGCTTAAACAAAGTAAAAGGTACTGCTATCCTTCCTCAGACAAATGTAGCCACATGCCAAGACCCAAAGAATGGCCTACAGAGGCATCCAGCTCCTTAGCCAAGCACAAATCAAAGCTCTATCATGAACAGTGACCCTGATGCATTAAATTTAACTCACTGAAAGCATCCTAATGTGGACTATTATCTCTAGATCAAAACTCTTTCTATAAGAGAGACAAGATCATGTTCCCTTTGAGAAAATCGGTTGTCAAGACCTAGAGGATCCAATCTTCAAAGAGCCCAAGCTTAGCTGCCTGAACACTTTTAATAAGCAATCTGATGATTTGTAAAAAAGTACTAAATGCAAATGTTTATTTTCAATGTGGTATGTGTACAGGGTCGCTATGGGTCGGAACCGACTCGACGGCACTTAACAACAACAACAACAAAAATGTATACCTCAAAAGGGGGGAGGGAAGTAATAGAGGTAAATACTGTTAACTGATGGAGCATGGAGATGATTGTAAGCATTGAATGCATCTGTTGAATGTAAAACTGATGATCTGCCCTATTAATGATCTTCATTGAATTCATAATAAAAGCTTTTTTTTTAAAAATGTACTAAATGGGAAATAATACGGTCATGTCTAAATCTTGGCTCTGTGTACTGGAAAAGGCTGTATCTTTTCCAGATCCATCAGGTTTGTTACTTATAAAAGGGTCTTCTGAAATTCATAATCCGTAAGTTTTGGTCAGTCTATAAGTTTGGTGTTCCCCAAGCTCTCAATTCAATTAACTGAATTTATAGCATTCCTTAGGATAACCAGGATCTTCGGCATTTAAGACAAAATCTATCCCCTGGAGTGTTTGCTACTGAAATACATAGCAGCATCTCAAGATCAACATTCCTTTTTATTGAGTACAAATTATTTAATTAAATCATCATTTAAAAAATATTTTATATTTGCTATGTGCCTCAAGTTATCTGTATTCAAGTCTGTGAAAAATAGCCTTGTCATCTAAGAGTATACAGATTTTCAGTGGAAAAATTTCAACAGGAACCAACTGGAGCACATCAGAAGTTTCTCCTATCACCAGATCAAACTTCCAGAAGTAAAGTCAAAGCTGCTTGTTTCCAGGTGCTGTTATCACAAGGTGGTTTTAAAGAACAGAAATTTATCTTTTCACAATTATGGAAGCTAAAAGTTCAAATCGGGGTGGATGTTTGAATTCCATTTTTGTCAGTGGGTAGCCCTGGATGTCCCTTGGTTTGTAGGTGATCCTTACATAGAATCTGCCTTCCCCTGTGTGTCTCTGTCTCAAATTTGTTCTTTTTATAACTTAGAAGCAATTGCAAATAGAACCCATCCTACTGTTGGGCATGGTCTAATAACACAGAAAACTTATTTCTGAGCAGAATTACATCCATGGTATGGAGGTTAGATTTCCAACACATTTTCAGTGACACAATTCAATTCACAACAAATACTAAGCATTATATTAAGGTAGGAGCTCTGGTAGCATAGTGGTTACGAATCGGGCTGCTAACCTCAATGTCAGCAGTTCAAAACTACCAGTTGTTCCACGAGAGAAAGATGAGCCTTTCGGATCCCATAAAGATTTACAGCTTCAGAAACCCTGTACAGGGTCACTACGAATCAGAACCGACTCCACGGCACATCATCACCACCATATTAAGGTACTTGAAGATCCCGAGTTTCCCTTAAAAAGTCCGCAGGCTGAAGAAGAAGAGAATTTTGAAAATAATTCTTATACAGTGTGTCAGAGTCCTGGTGTGACACTGTAGGATAAACACTGGACTACTAACCAAAGATTGGCAGTTGAAACCTACCAGCCATTCCTCAGAAACCCTATTCAGAGCCACACTTAACAATAACATACAGTGAGTCTAGTTTCCATATCACAGCTTATGGAGCAGTATACTCAGTCTGGAACATGGTGGAAAGGTTGTCATGAAGCTTTCACGTTTGAACCTTAACATGAAGAATGAGCAGCAATGCTGCAAGGGCAGAGGGTGGGGAGAGTATCCTGGGAAGAAGAACTAGCACGGGCAGAAGATGGTGCCCTGTGGGCATTGTGATTCGCTCCGAATATGGGTATAAAAAACAGAGCACAGGAAGGGGAGTAAGGAAGTATGCAAGCTCATTTTGCAAACTATAAGCAGGCACACCTCACCAATCAGATATGTTTCTTGTTCCTTGTAGCTCAATAGCAATTCTGCCCAATGCTTCTGCAGTTATTTGCACTAGCATTGAAATTCCCCCGAAAAAGTTATTCCAGCACTGTTTATAAATGCACATTATAAAAACCAAGAGGGTTTTTCTTTCTCTACAGGAAAAACGTTTGGTTTAAAAGATCGGGCAGGGCTCATTAGTACAGATGGAACAATAAGCAACGCAGGCATCTTTCACAACAACCTAAATTCCATAGCAGCTGATGTCACCTATTAAGGTCTTATAAATGGAACAAGGCTTCAGATGAATCTAAGCAATTTATCTGCCCCGATACCCAGTGCTGCAAGAATGGCTGTCTCAGTATTTAGGCTGACAATTGTCCTGGGCCTGCTTGTCTTAATCCTGACCTGCCAAGCGGGTAAGTGTCTCTGCTCACAACTCATGCATTATGCAGGCCATGATTGGAGGAAGTATGCTGAACAGAATCAGAACAAGAGGGAAAAGGTGGGGGGACCCCAGGCACCATGAAAAGAGTGCTGAACTGGGACATAGGAGACAAGAGGCCTACCTTATGCTTGATCTCTGAGGTGTCTTCTAACACAGTGAATGTAGGATTTAGTTAAATGTGCTTCACTTGCTACCTCTAGTGTCAATGAACATTTGGAATTTGGAATAATTTTTAAATATATATGCATATGATATAGTGACAGGTTATAATTCCCTTGAGAATTGAATAGTTGTTATGTTTGTATGTTTTGCTTTTGTGTTTTTTATTATTGTAACTAATAATATTCAAAGGCTTACGAAAATGTGTTCTGGGCTAAGACTCCTAAATCTGGCTCCACCAATAACTGAAAATGTGACTGGAGATAAGTTAATTTGCTGTGTCTCATATTTAAAAAGAGAATATTAATAGTGACTTTCTCAAAAAACAAAAAAAATAAATCATAAACATTACATAAGAGACAAAACAAATAGAAGCAATACCTGGGTCATAGTTAATAGCCAATAAATATGAACTGTTTTTGTTATCATGAATCATCTCTTCCAGTTCTCATAATAATCAGATTAAGTAAACATGCACAGTTTATTATTTCCCTTTTATAGATGAATAAGCTTATGTGCAATCTTATCATTTCCCTTTTATAGGTTAATAAACTGAGCTTGCAGATGGAGACTTTCTTTAACATCTCTTGCCATTTGAAATGGCAAACCTAGATTTTGTCCATCATAACTAGTCAGTCATTTATTTCAGATATGTTTTAAGCACATAAAGAATTACAAGGCAACATATGGAATTCTCTCTGTCTTTCTTTTTCTCTTTCTATCCCTACTTGTCTGCTGAAGACTATGTGTCTTGACTTGTCTCCATTCAGAGTGATATGTCAGGTAAGCAGACAATGGAAATACAGCGTTTAGTAATGAAGTCCTTTGAATAGTTCTAAATGTCACATGGCAGTGTTCATACCTTAGCCACCCACTGCCCACCAGTACAGCACACAGGATCTATTTCCTCAAAACTTAGGTTCCAGTCCCAACTCTGTATCACATGAATTCTGAAGTTGAGGCTTAATCAGCTTACTGCTTTTAACTTCAGTTTCTTCTTCTGCTAAATGGGATATTAACTACTTGTCTCATCAAGTAAAATGAGCATGCATTTGCAATCATTTTGTAAACTATGGAAAGCAATACTAATTCAGAATGTTCTAATCACATTGACAAAGAAATGCAACCAGGTAGAAGTTAAAGCAAACAAAGATAATCCCATGTTATATCTGAAAAGATAATTTTGATATGTTTATATTGATATTTTGTTTCCAGGATATCAGATTTCCAACTAGATCACAGTAATTTTTTATTTTTTTATCAACTCCTAAAATGCTAAAAGAGAAAGAGAATTACATATCATCTTGCTACTTAAATTATTTACAATAATAATGATAACAGAGTAAACATTTATTGTGGACGTACCTGATTTCTGGTACTATGCTAATTGCCATATGTACTGTTTTTAATCCTGAAAACAAAACAATGAAGCTGAGGTATAAAGTGATTAAGTGTTGTGTGCAAGTTTATTCCACTAAGTTTTGTTAAAGACGGGAAACAAACTCAGATCTGCAGAACTCCAAAGTATGTGACCCACTGTATTGTCTGATGATTATCCGACAGCACAAAAGTGAGAGGAAATCAATGGCCCATATTACACTGCAAATTAGTGACAGAGCTGAATCTCCACAAACTGCACACTGGGCTGCTGACATATTGAAAGGCTGGCATTTAGTGTGATATAAAAATAAAAAAAGGTGTTGTTGTTAAGTACCGTAAAGTCGGTTCCGACCCATAGCGACCCTGTACAGGATTTCTGAGGGTGTAAATCTTTACAGGAGTAGAAAGCCTCATCTTTCTCCTGCAGAACGGCTGGTAGTTTCGAACCGCTGACCTTAAGGTTCGCAGCCCGATTCGTAACCACTATGCTACCAGAATACTGATTAATTATACAAGTAGGCAGATGAGAGCACAGGACAAAAGAACTCATCTTTCATGTAAAGAGTTACAGATTTGCAGCTGGCAAATGTTTTCAAAGAATAATTGCTTAGTGGTGACAACTTATAATATAAACGATATGCTCTGCGGAATCAGAAAAAAGAACAGCAAAGTATGGTTCAAACCCTGACTTAGCTACGTGCTAGATGTGTGATTTTAGGTGAGTCATTTAATTTCTTGAAGCGTCTGTTTTCTCTTCTGTGAAATTGTAATAGCATCACTTAACTGAATGAGGATTAAGGTATGTTATGAAAGCACAACAGACACATCACAAATATGAGTTTCCTTCCCTCCCCTTAGCTGTGGTTAAAAACAAATCAATTATTTTGCGCTCTCAAATTGTCCTGCACTTTATGCGCGGGTCTTGCACTATTTGTCCTGGTGTGGTGCTGTGGGTTAATGCGCCAGACTGTAAAGTCAGTTTGAACTGCAAGGTCGGTGGTTCAAGCTCACCAGCTGCTCCTTGGAGACCTTACACAGGGTCGCTATGGGTCGGAAACGACTCGACAGCACTTAATAACAACAACAACAAACCTTACCTCTTAACATATGCTAAGGACTTTTAGTGGTACTATGGGGTAAGCACTGGATTGCTAACCAGAAAGTCAGCGTTTAAATCCATCAGCCCCACCATGGGAGAAAAATGAAACTTTGTGTTCCATAAACATTTACAGCCTTAGAAACACTAAACACAGTCGCTATGAGTCTAAAATCAACTCAAAGGTAGTGAGTTTGATTGGAGGATTTTTTAGTATATACAATGCACATACTTTGTTGTTAGTTGCCAGTGAGTTGCCTCTGACTCATAATGATCTCATGTTCAACAGAAGGAAATGTTGCCTGGTCCTATGCCATCTTCACAAGCATTGGTCTGCTCCAGTCCATTGTTGTAGCCACTGTGTATTTTGAGTGTATTTTCAACAGAGGGGTTCATCTTTCAGCACTATATGGGACAACATTCTATTGTGATACATAGAATTTTCATTGGCTAATTTTTAGAGAAGTAGATGGCCAGACCTTTCTTCCTAGTCTGTCTTAGCCGGGAGACTCCACTGAATGCTATTAACTACAGGTGGCCCTGCTGGTATTTGAAATACGGGTGGTATAACTTCACAGCAACATGCAAGTCACCACAACACAATCAACTGACAGATGGGTTCTGGGCATACATAATAACCCAAAACCAAAACCAAAACCAAACTCACTGCTACTCATAGTGACCCCATATAGAGATTCCGAGGCTGTAAATCTTCATGGGAGCAGAAAGCCTCAGCTTTCTCCTGAAGAGCAGCTTATGGGTTTGAACTGACAACCTGTGCTTAGGAATCCAGTACTTTCCCTACAGTGCCATCAGGAAACCTTACACATAATAACTTGTTGTTGTCATTGTTAAGTGCCGTTGATTTGATTCTGACTCATAGTGACCCTTACAGGGTTTCCCAGGAGCAGCTGGTAAGCTTGAACTGCTGACCCTGAGATTTAAATGGACTTTGTAGTCCAGCACATTAGCCCATAGCATCACAAGAGGACTCCATGTATTATAACTGCTGTTGTTAAGTGTTGTGGAGTGGGTTCCGACCCACAGAGACCCTGTACAGGGTTTCCAAGGAACAGCTGGTGAGCTTGAATTACCAACCTGGTTCAGACAACTTTGCAGTCCAGCACACTACCCCACAGCAGCACACCAGGACTCCACGTATTAACTAGCTGTCATGATCAATTCATTTCTGATTCATGGAGACCTCGTGTGTATCAGAGTACAGCTGTGCTTCACAGGGTTTTCAGTGTTTGTGATCTTTCGGAAGAAGATCTCCAGATCTTTCTTCCAAGGAACCTCTGAGTGGATTTCATCCTTTTGGTCAAGCGCTTGAATGTTTACTACCAGCGCTTGAATGTTTGCTACAGACAGAGATTCAGATATATATAATAGTAGTGGAGATAGTGGTTGTGTGTTTTTGAGTCAGTTCCAACTCATAGAGACCCTGTATGAGGTTTCCAAGGCTACATATCTTTAAGAAAGCAGAAAGCCTCATCTTTTTTCTCCCGTGGAGCAACTGGTGAACATAATCTGCTTTCATTGCTGTTAATAGCCCAACTCATAACCCACTACAGGGCCCCTTGTACATAATGCTGTTGTTACGTGTCATCAAGTCGATTCTGACTCATAGAGACCCTGTGTAGGGTTTCTGACTCTTTAAGTCTTCATGGGATCAGAAATTTTCTTATTTCTCCCATGGAGCAGCTGGCAGGCTCAAACTGCAGACCCTGTGGTTCACAATCCAGTGCTTATTGCATGGAGCCACACTGCTCCCCTGTACATAATTGTTGTTGTTGTTAAGTGCCTTTGAGTCAGAAATAACCCATAGCCACTCAGTATAGGGTTTCTGAGGAGCAGCTGGTGAGCCTGAACTGCTGACTTTGAGATTCAAACAGACTTTGCAGTCCAGCACATTATAAACCACAGAGCCACAACAGGACTCCTGGACATAATTGTTGTTGTTGTTGTTAAGTGCCATCGAGTCGGGTCCGACCCATAGCGACCCTATACAGGGTTTCCGAGGGTGTAAATCTTTACGGGAGTAGATAGTAGGCTAAAAAAATAATAATGATACTTATTGAATGAAAGAAACAACAACTGAATGCATAATTACTTGGTGATTAAAATATATTTAATTTAGTTACAGGATCCACACTGGTACTTCTAATAGATCTTTGCTTGTGGTAGAATAAATGTTTGAAGAATTGAATGCCTTCTTTTACTAACAATTTCTATAGGATGTAATATAGGCTCCTAATTTAATCTGACAGTCTCCACATAAGAAGCAAATACATTTCCCTCATTCAAAGTCTCTGGGTAGTTGTCTAGATGTAGAGAATTCATGAGTCAAGGCTTGTAGTAGGGTTGACAAATAAAATACAACATCCCCATGTAAACTGATAATCTTTTAGTATATGTATGTCCCAAATGTTATATGGGCATACTTATAATAAAAGTATTATCTGTTTCTACATGTAAAATTTAAAAATAACTGAGGACTCTGAAAGTATTTTTATTTAACAAATCTGGCAACTCTACTAGTAAGGGTGCAACAATATTAAAATAAGATGAGTCTATCCCAAAGTACATTGATTAGGTATTTATTTGCAAGGATTTATGGAGGGTGCAAAAGTTGTGGAGGATGAAAACTAATAGAAAGAGACTGAGCTAAGAGAGCCCTTAGCTAGACGGGGTCTTAATAACTATGTGTTGCCATAGATAAGGTGAGTTAGCTATCAGAATCCCTACTGTAAAAGCAAGGTCAGAGTTGTAGAATTGCAGGAGACAACTCTTGGCTTTATTAATTTATTAATTATTTATTGAGCTCTTTAAAAAAAACAAAACAGGATAGTCCTACTCGTTCTGTATCTTGTGGGAGTCCATATGTTGCTGCTATCTGCCCCATTTATATATTTTTTTCTCATTTTCTAAAGAATTAAGACCACTAAGCAAAAGTGAAGGAGTCCTGGTGGCACAGTGGGTAAGCATCGGGCCATTTAAACCCACCACCTGCTCTGCAGGAGAAAGATGAGGTTTTCTGCTCCCGTAGAAAGTTACAACCTCGCAAACTATGGAGCAAGTCTGTTCTGCCCCATAGTATTGTTATGAGTCTGAATCATCTTAACAACAGTAGAGAAAAAATGTTAAACTCCTCAGAGATATCACTAATCTAATTTTTCATGAATTTTTGGCTCTCAGTCCGAAGACCATTTGATTATGTGTCTAATATGAAGCATCTACAGTTATGGTCCCGTCTTCTCTTGTTATTTGTAAGGTCTTCTACAAGTCATGCAATCTTTTCAATTTCTTAGTCTAGTGAACTGAAAATGCATATCCCATAATACCATTTAGAAGTAAAATTACACAGTAATTGTAAAATCATTATTTGCAAATTTATTGTTGTTGTTAAGTGACATCTAGTCTGTTCTAATTCATAGCAACTGTAGCAGCTGATGGGTTTAAATTATCAACCTTGTAGTCAGCATTCCAGTGCTTATCCTACAATGCTACACCATTACATGACACAAAAACGAGAGGATTTTTCCCTGTAATCATTAATATTATACTATTTTCATTATTACAGAAGATTTGTGGATAGATCACTTTTCTTTCAGAGATTATGCAATTCATCACAGAGTGATTAGAAATACAGATTTTAATTAGAGACAAATAGGGATTTGTTTTTCGATGTCAGCACTCGTATTTATTATCTGCTTAAATCTGGGCAGTGTCAGTTGTTTTATCCACAAATGGAGCCTATGTCTAACCTAAATTTCAAGGTGTCTGTCTTTTTGTTGGAATAATATATGTAAAGATGTCAGTTACAAGGTGTTAAATTTTCAATAAATATAACAACATGAAATTGCATAATTAGTGATTGGGGGGAACAATGGGCTATAGGAATAACCTAAAATAAGAGTCCTTGCTTTATTTTTGCTAAGTACCATCTCTAAGCCTCAATTCTGTTTTTCAGATGACAAACCAGATGCCAAACCAGATGGTGAACCCAATGATAAACCAGATGACTCAGACAAAAGCGCAGATGATTTCCCAAAATTTCTGCACAACCTGGGTACAGAGATCATAGAGAATGCATTTGAATTCATTCTCCGATCCATGTCTAGGGGCACGTAATCACTAAGACAGGCCTTGATATTGTCCAGTTGGCTATAGGCAATGACTGCATTACATTAAGTGAATTAAAAGCAAAATTTGTCACATATATATGCCAATGTATTGTTTTTAATTGAAAATTGTGGCCCTATCTTCAGATGTATTTTTTTCTTAAATGAGTTACTCTGAATGCTTTCAAGATAAACATATTTCTATCAAATAGCTCCACACAGCATACTTTATCTGAAGACCAAGTAGGACTAAGGAAGAGCAGATAATTGTATTTCAATGTTGACGCTGATATTTACTAGCTGATTAACTCAGGGCAAGGTACTTAGTCTTGTTCTGGTTTATGACACAGGTGCTATTTTACTGAGTTGTCTTGGGCAAGTTTCTTTCTTCCTGAATACCTCCACTTGCCCATCTGTAAAGTTAAAAAAAAAAAAAAAAAAAAAGACTGTGAATTACCCATGTCCTCTCCACAGATACAATGACAGTTGTTTTGTTGTTAAGTGCTGGTTCCCACTCTTAGTGACCCTGTGCAGGGTTTCCAAGACTTTAAACTTTTCGGGAGCAGAAATCCTCATCTTTCTCCCAAGGAGTGGCTGATGAGTTCAAACTACTGTCTTGTAGTTTGTAGTCCAGTGCTGATTGTATGGAGTCATTGTGCTCCCTAGTGAACATGTTGGATAGTGACATATTCATTAGTTTGTTGTTGTTAAGTGCCGTAGAGTTGGTTCCGATTCATAGTGACCCTGTATAGTGTTTCAAAGGAGCACCTGGTGGGTTTGAACTACCTACCTTGTGGATTGCAGTCTAATGATGATCCTACAGCACCACACCATTAATGGTGTGTGTGATAGATCCATCTTCATTATCTATCTTCAGCAGCTCAAGAGGATTAGGAGATCCAGCAAATATGTCTCCTCAATGACAAGCTGAAGAATTTCACTAGCTGAATGTTTCTTTTGTTGGTGCTGTTGTGTTGTTTTTTTATTTTATCATAAGGGATTGTCTAAGTAGAAGGTTCCTCTGTTAAGTATTTTTCCAAAATTTTCAACCTTTTCCCAAGGTCCTGAGCACCATTCTTAATATGTCTAACTTCAACATTTAAAGCTCTGATTTTTTCACATGTATTTTACTCTAATCTTCACTCTCCCTACATCAGTCTCCCTAATTTCAGTTTTCCAGGATCGTGTTGTCTTTTGTGAATTGCTAGGTGCTTTCAACCTCCCCATTTCTGTCTCTGCTAATTAACTGTTTCATAGCCTCCTAGCCTATTTATTAAGCAAAGTGTAACTAAATATGTTCGTTACCTACCTGCTTCAGAATCCAATGAGGAAATTATAAAAAGCACACATCCCCTTGTAAGTCCGTCTTCTTCCTACAACTGATTGGAATACCTAAAATGGGCATACAATGTGCCCAGTGAAGGAGTCTTCCTGTGGAGCCTCTGCATTACATAAGACTATAGGTAGAATCCTGAACAGCATCCAGAATCTTCAGAGGTGGGAAATTTC